TGGAAGGAGAAAAAAATAAAGAAAAGAAAAAATTAAAAAAAATGTTATTATTTATTCGTTTGGATAGACAGCAGAAAATAAGAGAAAGAATAATAAACAAGTATTATAAAGACTATAATGTCCTTATAATTGGTTGTAACTAAATTAAAATATATCATGTTTCATACAATTATGGTTGTAAAAATAAATTGAAAGCAGAAATTATATCCAAATAAACATAATCAAATTAATTTAAAATTAAATTAGTTGTTAAAAGTGAATTTTAAAATTATTACATTTTAAAATAGAATAATTTAATTAAAATGTTATTCTTACCTTTAAGTATTCAAATGTGGGCACTTTATTTAATGTAAAAATATATATATTATATATTAGTTTAAACACCTTATTTTTAATATTTTGACACTTGTTTTCTTGTTAATAGCGCAACTTTCTAGATCATACTCTCTCCGTTTAAAAATATAAGGTATTTTTTAAAGAGTTGGATGTTTAAAAATGTAAGGCATTTTTAATTTTTTGAGATATAATCATTACCTTTTTTTCAAAAATGCCCCTATTGATGAATGACTTTATATTTATTGTAGGGCGTTTTATAGAGATAAATATGAAAATATAAGATTAATTTGAAAGTAGATAACTATTTTATTGAGAATAAGATTTAATTAAAAATGCTTTATAATTTTAAATGGAGGGAGTATGTCTTTTCTAGTTTTAGCTTTTTTGTCCTAGACTCACTGTTCTTCTAAGGTATTATAACTATGGGAAAATTACATTCAAGGATTGCTGGAGGAATCTATTTACAAACAAGGACCAAATAATTATGAAATTAAACTGCAATATCAATAGACCAAAATGTAATAAATTTTTAATGTGAAAAAATAAAATTGCCCCTCAATTTTTTTTAAAAAAATCCTCAACCACCAACCACTGGAGCTTTGACACCAATCACTAAACCAGCAAGGGAGGCAGACTACTTTTTTTAAGGTGGCCAAGGTGGGATTTGAGCCCACATTCTCTTGGCTACTAAAAAAATTATTAGCCACTAGGCTAACAAATTTTTTCAATTATATAATGCAAGATTTTATAGATATATATAACTATGTTAATTTTTCATGCCAACATTTATTAGAAGCTCAATGGTTACTTGTCATTTTACAATTCGCTACTTGTTAAACTACTAATGAGACTTGTTAAAAAATTTGATACACACTGATTTTTATCAATACTTACTTGTTTTTATTACTAGAAATGATAAATTTCCATTAACAATTTAACAAGTAACCGTTTGTAAAATGACAACACTCATTACTAGCTTTGAAAATTTCTCTTAATAACTTGACAAGAAAATTTTAGCAAAATAATAAGTTCTTATGAGCTTTTAACTTATAAAATTTTAGTAATAAAAATAAGTAAACATTTATAAAAACCATTCCACATTAAATTTCTTTAACAAGTCCCCATTGATGATTTAACAAGTGATCATTTGGGAAATGACAAGCCCCATTATGTTTAAAATTTGCTTTCACTTTTCATGTCAACACTTATCAAGAGTTTAATGGTTACTTGTCATTTTATAAATGGCTATTTGTTAAATTAAGTAATGGGACTTGTCATGATAAATTAAGTAACAATGACAAGCCCCATTACTTAATTTATTGTGCTAAAATTTTACATGTCAAAAGTTCGTAGGAACTTATTATTTTGCTAAAATTTTCTTATCAAATTTTATAGAGAAATTTTCAAAGCTAGTAATAGGATTTGTTATTTTACAATTAGTCACTTGTTAAATTATCAACGGAGATTTGTCAAATAAAATTAATGTGGAGTGGTTTTTTTAAATGTTTACTTATTTTTATTATTAATATTTTACATGTTAAAAGCTCATAGAAACTTATTATTTTGCCAAAATTTTCTTGTTAAATTATTAAGAGAAAATTTTAAAACTAGTAATAGGGCTTGTCATTTTGCAAATGATCACTTGTTAAATTATAAATGGGGAGTTGTCAAAGAAATTTAATATGAAATAATTTTTTTTAATGTTTACTTATTTTTATTTCTAATATTTTACATATTAAAAACTCATAGAAACTTATTATTTTACTAAAATTTTCTTGTTAAGTTATTAAGAAAAATTTTTAAAACTAGTAATGGGACTTGTCATTTTACAAATGGTTACTTGTTAAATTTTTAATGAAAACTTGTTATTCCTGATAATAAAAACAAGTAAGCATTTATAAAAATCAGTATATATTAAAATTTTTTAGCAAGTCCCATTAGTAGTTTAATAAGAAGTCATTTGTAAAATGACAAGTAACTATTGAACTTCTGATAAATGTTGATATGAAAAGTGAAAACAAAATTAAGTATATATATAACTTTGCATTATATAATTAAAAGGATTTGTTAGCCTAGTAGTTAACAATCTTTTTAACGGCCAAGAGGATATGGGTTCAAACCCCACCTTGGCCACCTTAAAAAAAAAAATAATTTGCCTCCCTCGCTAGTTCGGTGATTGACGTCGGAGCTCTGATAGTGATCCAACTACTATTGTTAGAGTTCAAATGGCTTATTCGGCGGGGTGGTCTGGCCACTGGCGGTTGGTGGCTGAGGAGCTTTTAAAAAAAATTGAAAGGCAATTTTGTCTTTTGACATGAAAAATTAATTACATTTTGATTCCTTAGTATCACTGCATAATTTCAAAATTATTTAATACTTATCTATAAATAGATTTCTCTAGTAGTTTTTGACTGTAAATTTCCTTATAATTATTTCATCACATTTCTTATTTTGATCTTAAGTTTGTCTTATATTGCTATCTTTTTTAGTTCTTTTTAGCACCGAATCTAGTCCAGTCTTTCCCATATGTTCCAAGAGGAGTAGAGGACAACAATTAACATTTAAACGAGATCCGTGAAGAAAAATATATAGAAGTGAAATCGAACCTATTGGAAGAATAGCGTTGGCAATTTAGGCTTGGAAGAATAGAACTGATAATTTGAGCCAAATCTAATGGACTAGCCTGAAAAACTTAGGACCAAGTTTTAAAAAAATAATTTTTTATCATTCCAGCCTATTCAGGAGGGTCTATTTGGGAAAATTCAGGCGGCTTGGCCCGTATACTTAGAATATAAAAAATAAATTTTAAAAAAATAAAATATAATAAATATTAATTAATTTTTTAAGTTTTATGTCCTTTTATACTAAAATATCATATATTTGAGTGCATTACTATAGTTATTTTTTAAAAAAAAAAATATTTATATTTTCATATTTTTATTATTTTTAATCAATAAAATATCTCAAAATAATATTTAAAATAAATTTTAGGAATGATTTTTATATTTTAAGATTCAATTTTTTTAAAATTTTTTTTAGTCCTATACATCATTAGCATATCCAAAAAATATATTTTATATTTTTTTTATAAAAATAGATAATTAATTTTAAATTAAAAATAATTTTAAAAATAAAATTTGGGCATGTATGAATTTTTGACTCTACTAGTAGATAAAAATTATTAATAAATTAAAGTAAATACCCCTTATATGTAGGGTTAAACAATATAAAAAGTTAAAGAAAAAATAATTACAAAAATAATATTTTATTCATGATTAAATGATTTTTTTATATAATATAATAATGGGTATTTTTTCATATTTTTAAAAATAAAAATTATAATTTATTTAAAAGTTATTAAAAATTTTGAACTAATCGGGGCAATAATTTTAAATCAATAGTCTAACCATAATTAAATTGAGATTAACTTAATCATAATTTAAATAGTATAATAAAATTAAAATGTATAAAATATTTATATATGACTATAATAAGAGCAATATTTAAATAACTAAGATATTAATTTATAAGTAAAGAAAACATTTATGAATAAATTATACATAATATAATAAAACAGTAACAAAACTACTTAAATACAAAATTGATAAGTTATTATTTTTTATTTTATTCTTTTAAAGTTAAAATAATGTTTTATACTTAACAAAATTATTTACAAATTAAAATTCATTTAAAAAATAAAAAAATTATTTTTAAAATTTTTGGATAGTTGGGCTAACCAAAATAAACCTGAAAGTGTTAGGAATGAACTTGGTTATATAATCTTTTTTAAAAAAATAAGATATTTTAAGACTAATTTGAATAAGTCCAACCTATTTAAATTACCGACTCTATGAAGAATAATGCAACAAAGAACACACCAGAGAAGAAAAAGGCTGCTGCCTGTGTCAAAATGGCAAAATGAAAATATAGATAACATATAAGAGAGAAGAGGGAGTGAGAGCAAATGGTGGGAATTTTTATTTTTTTCAAAACCTCACCACAAAACTTGAAAAGAAAATATAGTGAGTTTTATTTTTTTTTTGTCTCTCTTACTTTTTTTCTTCTCTCACTTTTCTCTCCTCATTCAAATGAGAAAAGATTTATTTTTTCTCCTATTTTCCTGCTTTCCTCTCATATTTTTCTCTCTATCTAAACATAGCATTACTAATTAATTAATAGTTAGATGAATGAAAATAAAATTTTAAAAATAGAAAAGATGTTTTGCATTTTATAACTATTGATTCTAGGGACATTTTAAGTATAAATTAGTTATAAATTGTGGAAGATTTTTATAATATAGTTTCTAAGATTTACCGCTAATTAGCTTTCAAGATTTATAAAACTTCTTAAAATTATAATTGATTTGCAACTTATATTCTAATTTTATAATTAAGATTTTATAATTAACAAGTTACAACTACAATATATTACTATTGGAAAAGGATATTTTTATCTATTTATATTTTTCCTTAGTGTTTCTATAATTATATGTTTTTCACAAATTTGTAGTCTTTCAGTTTATATATGATTTCACTTTTCAGCCCTTCTATTTCATTCTCTCATTAATTTTTTTTAAGACATAGGTTGAAAAATTAATTTTTTTAATCACTTACATTATTTATTTAATTAATCATTGAAATTATTTTGGAAAACAAGAAAGAGCATGAGAAACTTTATTATTATTTATTGAACGACATGGACATGGCTCATCCACCAACAAATTACAAGTAGTAGTGATATGAAAAAATGATATTGGAGCATCCTAAATAAAACCTCTCTCAACAAAATCCGAAAACGTAAAACTAATCTCTCAGGAATCAAATTATGAATGAATGAATAATTGGTTAGTTTGGTTTAGAGAAGAAGTTGTTGACAGATGGCATAATCTCAGGACGCCTGTTGCGGAGAAACTTCCTTAGTCCATGTTCCTTATACTTCTCACCCTCTGCGAAGTTCTCGAGCACTCCTGCTGCTCTATTCTCTTTTAGTACCCTGACCATAACATAACCAAATCACCTCTCATTTCACAACACTTTTAAATTTGACTGTATCATCATCAATAATCAATAACTATTAAAGTTCTAATAAGCCCTAATTTGGATTGAGACACAATTAGACATTAAATACGAACACCTTTTCTAATATATTGATTTTCATACAACCAATTTTTCTTTCTTTCTTACCATTTTCATTGGAATTTTTATCCCATACATTCAAGTTGTCCTTTCAATGTTGTTTACAAATGGAGGAAACTTCGTAGGCCATAACAAATAGTAGCATTTTATTTTTCCTAACAGACACAAGTTGAATTTACCAAGAGAACTAATTAAAGATTTAATTATGTTTACATGTTTTTCTCTAGTATCAAAATGGTCATTTCATTAGTGCATAAGAAACTCATGATAAGGACGAAAAAGGAAACTCATGCGTCTATTAACCAACGCTATCAACTTGTTCATGTATCTTCAGCACAAAACTAAGCTGGAGTTTAGTGTATTAGAAAGGCCATGAATGCTTTCCACAGTGACAATTTTGGTTGCGCAAAAGTATTTGAAGAGAGTACATTGAGAAACTTATTACTGAAGGATTAACATCAGAGGGACTTTTCACGAATCAAATTGATACATTCACATTATATCTGGACTAAATAGAAAAAAGAACTTATCATTAACTATATTAATTTACTGATTTATATATAAAACAGCCTTGGCTGATGCAGCTATTGTGCAGAGGAAACAATTTAATCTGAAATAAGAATAACAAAGCACAAGATATGCAAAACAGTCATCAATATATGTACCTGACTTCAGGATTGGTAGTGATGTTCCTGATAAGTTGCATGCCGCAGATCCCAACGGCCACACTAACTGAAGCAAAAAGAGGGTAAACCTATTCGCAATACAAGAAACAGGACGCATTCAGAAAATCATCACGTTTTATGCCAAGCATTTCGTGCTTAATCTTGCGACTACAATTCTTCCTGACATTGGCTTCTTAAAGACACGAAACACAAAATAGAATCAAGGATCTTCTCCGAGATTTACAAGCTTGATGAGAAAAAACGAATCATTACTCCTAAGAAATTAACCGATGAGTTTTACGATTTAAACAAGAAAAAAGAGAAGAATCTCCGGAGCTATGACTACAAAGTTACGATTCGGATCAGGCGATGCAGCAAGTAGAATAGCTGGAATCGAATTCGGATTTTCAATCATTTTCTCGGGAACCAAACAGGATGAACATTGATGAAAACGATCGAATAATTAGGGACAAGGGAAAAGAAGGGAAGAAGTACCTCGGGCTTCAACCATCTGGAAGCAGCCATTTGTAACTAGAAGAGAATAAAAAAACAGGAGATGCGAGAAAAGAGAAAAAACGCAGAAGGTATAACTTGCCTCCTCCAAGAAACTTGAAAGGAAGCAAGAAGGAGAAGAATGAGCTAGGATGAAATTGATGATCAACGGAGTCGAGTTTATATACGTAAACGGCTCGCCAATGTAACGGAGTTCCATGCAATTTCCGTGAAAATAGAAAACGGTGTGTTCTAAAATGGTTGGTATTGCACCAGTTCTTTCTTTCTTTTTTGGGTTTGACCAATTTTATCATTAACTATTTTCTTAATTCTTGACCACTCGTTCTCGCCACTTCTTCATTTTGGCTTTGTAAGACATAAATAGATTATATTCTAAACTTAAAATTAGTGCGTCATCATTAATAGACATGATTGATAAAATACATGTCTTTATTATAACTAGACTGAATCTCATATGTTACATGAGTTTGATGTAAAATGATAATCTTTAAAGGACAATAATTGATGTCTTGTTTCTGTACAAAATACACACAATTACACACGCTTCACTTAGAGTTTGAAAACATGAGCCAACTCGAATCATATAAATTAGCTTATATGAGTTGAGAAAAATGTGAGTTATATTGGATTTAATCTATTTTTATATAGATTGAAAAAATCTCAATTCAATCATTGAGGATTGGCAGATTAAATAGACCAACCTATCAACCCATTTATTTTTTTTCATGAATTTAAGGGGAAAACATACCTAAATGATGAGTTCTAGTTTGACATTCATTCAAAATTAATTAAGATACACCAAAATATTAATATATAATGTTTGAATAAAATATATGAATTAATTCAACCTAAAATTTTTCCTCTTTTCCTTTTTTAATTTTTTTAAAAATAATATGGGTTATATAGGCTAACTCTAACCTATCATGATTAACTTATGGTTTGAGGGTTATATGGTCCACACCAATCAATTTTTTTCAACCCAATATGACCTTTATGATTGATTATTTGGACCAATTCATATAACCTGACTTATATTTTTGGCTCTAGCTGCACTAGTTATTGGAGGAGAATGAAAGAAATCCTAAAGAAGAAAAAAAATTCACATTGCCACATGAGTAATAACATTTCTTTTGGAAGAAAGTAAAATGTTCAGTTTAGGAAGAAATTTCATTTTAAGGCTTTATCATTGAATGAATGTTAACTTTATCTTATTCTCATCTCATTCAGTTAAGGAACAATAGATTTACTGATTTCTAATAGAGGAAGCAATTTTTTCCCAAACCATTTGTCTTAATTTCATAATGCACATTTAATTAACTATCTCTCTGGAATTAGAGAAGTAGTTAAGTTATTAATTTTGTTTATGTTTTCTCTTATAGTTAATGGGTTTAAATAGAGATAATATTGACAAATTTAATTAAAATCTCATCAAATACATTATATTAAGGACAACAAAAACATTGTAAAAGGTGCCTTATGATAAGGAATAGAAGAAGTACATTTTTATATTTTAATATTTTGAGAAAATATAGATTTTGATCCTTAAGTTTTTCTCCATTATTGATACGGCCTTGAATTTTGATTTAAATAATTTAATCTTTATAATTTTTAACCTAAAGTAACTTGGTCCTTATTTTAGTCAATGCGACTCATTCTCTATAAATTTTTAACTCAATAAACTATTAGAATTGAGTTGTATTAAGTTAAAATTTAAGGACTAAATATATAATTAAAAAATTAAGGATTAAAGATTATATCATCTCTAATATTTTATACACATGTTTTTTTTTTTTGAGAAAAATACTTTATAAACATGTGAAGTAGTATTTGGCAACAATTTTCTGGGTTCTTATTGAGGATCAACTAATTCCGAACATGTTGATGCATCAATTTCTTTAATGTTTCAGTGGTCGTTTCATGTTCATGGTGTCCAAGTTTCATTAACTATCAATTTGACCGCTGATAAATGTGACGAATTCAACCAACTGATTTATAGGTTCTTTTTGCCCCCATTGCATGTGCTCTGTTGTCCGTAAGTAACTTCTATGATTCTAAAATCTCCATCAGGTCACTATTTATAAAATATTAATTATATCTGAACTTCAGGGCCTAAAACCTAAATAGGTCTACTTAAATTTTTTTAATTAATATGACTACCTGACTAGATTAAATTCGAGTATAGTTAGGTTGAACTGAAAGTAACTCTTACAAAAATATTTTCTGTATTTATAAGAACTCAAATTCTAAACCTTAGGCCTCATTTGGTTCATAGGAAATAGGATTAGGAAAAGGAAACAAAAAAGGAGTTTTCCTTTACTTGCTTGACATGAAACTTGATTCGTGGGAAACTATTTTCAAGGAAGAAGCCAAAATTTGGGTTCCTAAGGCAGAGCTCTTGGAACCCAAATATTAGGACTATTGTGTCCTTATTAAAACATCACAATTCTAAATATGCCTTTCTAAACTAAACCCAATCCTTCAACCATTTTTCACATTGCACTCTGGGCTAAGAGGGAAGTTGCAAAGCAGATGCCGGCATGATGGAGTGAAGATCTAGGCAAGGTGTGAGGTGGACATTGTTGTGATAGAGGTTTGAAGACATGTTCAAGCCATGCAATGAACGTTTAGAGTGATAACGATGAAGAAGATGAAAAGTTAGGTGAATTGCGATTCAATTGCGATGAGATTGAAGGTTCAACTTCATCTTAAACTTCAATTCAGATTGCAAATTTAAAGACGAGCAATGAGGGCATATTGTGATTCAGATCAAAGGTTCAAAAGTCACAACAACCCACAATGGAAGGTTTGAAGATTTTGTAGTTCATGCTCCATCGATTTTGCTTTTTTATATTTTTAACTTGCATCAATCTGATGTGCATTGCAGATCTGATGTTTAGGGGGTTATTCTTGTTCATGAGTTTTAGATCTATTTATTGTATTGGCTCTTTGCACTTTAGATTTTTTTTTTTTTGTGGATAACTTGAATTTTTGGGTTGAGTTTTGGTAAATTTTAGCCATGGAAGAACAAGGTGGAAGAATGAGGAGGTGAAGAAGATGAGGGCATTGTTGACTTTCTATATTTTAAGACATAAATCAAATAAAAATAATATGATGATTCCATGTATAT